TGGTTGTAGATGAGAGTGATGTCGACTTGATTTTGGGGTTTCCACGGGGTCATGTTAAGATGGTTCCACGGGATAAGCTTAAGGTGAGTAACACCCTCAAACATTGGAGGGGTCTATTTCATAAGCGGAAGCACAGGGTGACTGCGGCGGAGATTAGTCAGAGGATGGTGGATGCCGTTGATGGTGGACTCTGGTTTAAGCGGCATTTCCTTGTGTTAGTCTTGTCGTCCCTGGTTTGTTGTATGTGTAACGGTTACTCGAACCAGATGTATTTTCATCATTTCGAAGATGTGTCGAGTGTCCGTGATCTAGACTGGTGCAAGCTTGTGGTCGACACTTTAGTTGAGACGCAGGCTGCGTGGCGTTCTGGTCGGCATAAGTTTTTTCTTGGGCCGACTGAGTTCATTACGGTATTGTTGCTATTCTTGTCTTGTGTTCTGTGTGTTGTTTTATTTGTTCCAACTAATATTGTAATATTTTTTCATGTATTTCTTTTTGGTGTTTTTCTAGTTGCTTTATGTAGATCGGGTTGTGCATGGTGCCCGCGTTGTCCCTCGGTCTGTACCTGCTCTTCGTGGGTGGTCGTCACCTTTGCTACGTCAGCGTGAGTTCGTTGAGATTCGGAGTGGAGGGTTTGGCCTTGGTGGCATTGAGCCCCCGGTTTAGGTGTGGGGCGGGGGATAAAGGTGATGATATCCCGCCGGTTGAATATGGGCCTAGGATATGGTTTTTTTTTTTTTTTTTTTTTTTTTGTTGGTTTGCTTATGTTTATGTTTTAAGTGTGCACATGTCTTTTGCTGCGGGTGCACCTGTCATTCAAGATGTCTTTGCGGCTTTTAATCGCACTTATTCGCTTTGTTGTCTTGTTTTTGTTTGGATAGACATTTGGTGATGTTGTAATTCAAACAACAACGAAGATAGCGAGGGAGGTGTTAGAGTTGGTGGAGCAAGGGCCGGATGGTGCTTTCGGTGGTGATGTGCTTCGAGGGGTTTTTGATGCCATCAAGTCTCTTCGGGTGGTTGTTGCAAATCAGCGTGAAGCGTTATCCGATGATATGCCGTCCTTCAGTCTGGGTATTACGCAGGATATAGCAGATCGTGGTTGGGGTGATATTGAGGCTGTGTTGCGGGACTTGGTCCCGTCAAATACTGGCATTCTTGATTCTGATGTGGTGGGTATTTTGCCAATTTTGATTTTATTAGTTTTATAAGGTTGTTTGGCTAGTTTCTTGTGTGCATTCGGCTTAGTGGTTACATTACGTGGGTTTTGAATTGTTTTTTTGCTTTTGTTTTGACTTTTTAAGCTCATTATTGTCTTGTTATTATTATTTTTTGTTTTTGCCTGTTAGGGTGGTTCAAATGGTGGTAAGCATGGGGCTGGTTCTGAGGGTGCTCGGCTGGCGGTGACTGTTGAACCTGCATCTGCCTCTCATCCGGTCGCTACACCTGTGTCTGCTGGGGTGGTACGTATAATGTGTTATGCGTAGTTACTTAGCGATATGTTTCAATTTGTGTTTGCAAACATGTGGGTTCTTCTCGGCGGGGTGAGCATACTAGTGTTAATGTGGGTGCACATTGCATGTGGCCTATGTTTGATCTAGTTACTTGTTGAAATGTGGTGTTGTTCAATTTTTGTCTACCGTAGGGTGGGGGTGCTGCAGTACAAGCTGGAGAGTGTGCTGTCCCTGGGCACGGTGAATCTGCGATGGCTACGCCAGTTCAGCATGGTTTGGTATGTGTGTTTTTTTTTTTTTTTGTTTTTCGTGCGTGCAGTGTGCACATTAATTCACTGTGGTGTGTATGTCACTGTTCTCTGGCTATTCCCACGGGTGCACGATCGCATGGTCCAGGGTTTATAACCTTTTAGCGCGATATCCCACGCTGCGTGTTTTTTTTTTTGTGTTGTTTAATTATGTTATTTCGGTGTGCAGCCATCAATACCTGCGGGAGAGGCCATTGGGTGTCGGTCTGCCGGCCCTCTGTGTCAAGCACCTTTGAAACCTTGTCGGGGTGGTACTCGGGTGCCGAGTGGTGGTCCTCCGGGGGTGTCGCGCCTAGATATTGGCGCATCCGGTTCCACGAGTTCTATGGCTTTACCCGACTTGGACAAACCGGATGAGGGAATGATTTGCAATTGGTTGTTGTGTGCTGCAGATGCGAACATGTTAGTTTCTGAATCTATTTTTTGCTATGCAGATTCTGTTTCGTATGGTTAGTTCATGTGTTTTTTGTTTATCTTTGTGTGTTGTAGGGACGATATATTGTTCGATGTTAGTGGTAGGGCTGCTCGATGGGGGGATTTGTTGTCGCTTGCACCCGGGTCGTTGGTTGAGGTTGCCGTGGTAGATGCGTGGGCATGTCTTTTGAATTGTCGTGAGCGGTATAGGGCCCCTTCTGCCCCTTCCCTTTTTTTGCATCCACTATTTCCACGGTTTGTTTCTAGTCCGTACCCTTATGATAAGGTATTTTTTTGTGGTTATGTGTTTTGATTTTGCATATTTGATTGTTCTTGTAGCTTCGTACGGTTGTGGATACCTCTCTTGATCTGGATAAGCGGATTGTTATGTTTAAGGAGAGTCTCCACGGGGAGTTTGAGATGACGCCTTACCAGCATATTAATGAAGTTGACATGGTATGTTTGGCTTTCTGCTTTTTTCAGTGTACTGTTCCTTGTCCTTATTGTTAGTTCTATTGTGCACCCGGTGGCTGCCTTTTGTGCACTCAGCCCAGATTTGTTTTTACTTTTTGGTGTGGGATGCTTTGCTTGTAGTCATTGTATGTCTTCACCCATTCATGGTTGTTGGTTGCAGTTTATGTTTCTCATCCTGCGCCAGGGACACTACTTTCTTCTTTGCGTCGATTTTCGTAATATCCGGTTTGAGATTATTGACAATTCGACGCTTCAGTCCAACAAGCAGTTGAAGTATGGTGATTGTCCGGATGACTTGGTAGGGTTTTTGTCAAACTTTTTATACTTGTCTGATTGTGTGACCAGGCTTTTACTTGCTTAACTTTTTGTTATGTGTCTTTTTGTTTAGTATTCATTCGACACTTGGAATTTTGCTGTAGTTGCACATGCTTATGGAGTTCTTTAAATCCATCGACCCGGCAAGGTTTACGATGTGTGAGCTTTTGGATGCGAAGCGTATGCAGATGAGCTGGCGGGATGGCAAGAACAAGATTGACTGTGGCGTGTATGTTATGCGTCATATGGAGAGTTATTTAGGTCAGGGAGTTACCAAATGGAAATGCGGGCTTACCAAAGGTAACACTGCGCAGCTCAAGAAGCTGAGGTTGCGATATATGAAGGAACTTACTACCTCCGAATTCAATTTACATAAGTGTCGAAATATCTCCAGGGCGTATCATTCCGTGAAGTCTGTATCAGGGGCTCTATAGTGGAGTTTTAGTTCGTAGTTTTTTTGGTTTTGGATTTTGGCCTCCTTTTTGCAGTTTTTAGGCCTAGTAGTGTTATTATTTTCGATGGTGATCTTATTTGCGAATCTTAACTATGGGTTGTGTATGCCTGTACTGGTACATGCATTGTGCTCATGGATATTATTATGATTATTTTTTATGGTAGTTGGTAATTAATTTGTCGCTCGTGCAGGTTGTTAGTGTACATTGGTGTGCACTGTGGGTCTCATCCGTGTGCACTGTAGTTTATTGCATGCTTCACGGGCAGCTGGTTTGTTTAAATCAGGGTAGTTTAATATCTGAATTAAATATATTAGTTTCCATGGGTAGTTTTATATGTAAATGAAATAAGTTAGTTTCTGTGGGTACACTTTAAATTAGGGTAGTTTAATTTGGTCCACCGGGTGCGGGTTAATTCCATGGTTGCACATTCGCGTTAAATACTGTGCGTTCACACCTCAATACATTTCAAACATGGCTTGAACTTAATGATTTTCATAGAGGTGAGTAGTTCGTTATTAGCGTATATGACAACTACTAACATCGGGGTGTGCACAGTGACGGTAGATAGTGTGCATAGCTGGATCGGAATAATAACATCGGGGTGTGCGCAGTGACGGTAGATAGTGTGCATAGCTGGATGGGCATACTGGTTGGCGGTTAGCGTTTAAGGCCAATTTATTGAAAACTCTGTGTGCACAATGATGGTATACGGTGTGCGTAGCTGCGAGTCTTAGTTATTTTGACTAAACTGGGTGTGTGCGCAATTGTGGTAGATGGTGTGCATAGCTGCGAGTCTTGCCTACTTGACTAAACTGGGTGTGCACATTGTTATTAGATGGTGTGCGTTAGCAAAACAAATAAAGTAGTTGTCTATTGCCATACATGGTAATTAATAAAATATGTATCCCTGTGCAAGGGTGGTAGATAATGTGCATAGCTGAAAAAACTAATTACCAAGAATGGGTATAAATCTAAACTTTGACAACTATTTAATTGAATTTCCAAATGAGCTAGTATTCATAGTGATGTAAAATACAAACGGGCTACTCGTCTGGTAGGGCTTTTCTTTCTGGACAGTTCCTGTTGTCGTGCCCCGGCCGGTCACAGGTAGCGCATGTCCTCACCTTTTTCTTCCCTTTTTCAGTTGCTTTCTCTTTGTTGCTTTTTAATCTTTTCCCACTACCTTCGTTTTTTGCAACGCTTGGTGGTTTGATTTGGATCTCGGCAGGTGCAGTGGCGTTTAGTATTGATTCGATCACTGATTGTGGGGTGGTGCTTGCTCTGGTTTGTTGTCTGGCGCTTTGTAACCTCCCTTTAAGTTCTTGCATTGTTGATAAAATTATATCCATTTCATTTGGGCATCCATTAGCCAATCCCATGCAGTTGTAGAACTCATTCCAAAGTTGGTTGGCAATTGTTCATAATTCATTCCCACCCTGTGTATTACTGCATGCTTTCCACACAACATTGTACATTGGCTGTGCACACGCACTCTTAGTCCATCGGGGAACAATATAACATCCTGGTATTTCTTCCACGCCTTCGTTCTTGAACACGGCCAACACATGCTTACATAATAGTCATACTCTGTTGAATTTGTTACAATTGCATTCTGTTCTTTTAGTAGATTCTTCGTGCGTTACCTCAAATATATTTCCCCCCGTTTCATGAACAGTGTACTTGTAACCCCCATCATCATTTATCTTGCATGTGATTTTGCATGTGAAGCTTCCTTCCCATATTTCTTCCTGGAAGTCGTAGAATATGTTTTTGGTGTACATTGCAGTAGCTTGGCGTTCTATGGCCAATGGGGTTTTGGTTTCAGGGAATGAACTTTCGCCCTCGGCGTTCAGCTGTTTTTGGTGGTACCTTTGTTCTCCGGTGGCGCGGTTGTATTGCATTATGAACTCTACCAAGCTGTTGTGGTGATTGGTGAATTTGCCAAAATAACTGTTCTCTGATTCTGACCGTGATGTTGTTTTGAGTAGTCCCCCCATGAATATATCTTGGAAATATGCAGGTATCCATGATGCACGGGCTTTGTACATTTGATCAAACCACCGGTGTTGAACAAGGTTGTACCCCTGCATTACCTCTTCCCATTTCAATTCGAATGCAGTTACACTTAAAGTTTCGTCCCATACTGCATTGTTCAGTGCCTTCCTAAACTCCATGTTTTTTGCTAGTGCATTCCCTACCTTGTCCCCCACTTTTTCCATGATGTGCCACATACAGAATCGGTGCCTTGTTTCCGGCATAATGTTAGGTATTGCGACCTTTAATGCAGGGTCTTGATCTGTAATAACACATCTTGGTGTATAGCCCATCGCGGTTTTGAAGTTTTTTAATAGCCACTCGTACGACTCCACGTCCTCTCTTGCAATGAGGCCTGCCCCAAATGTAATGCTCTGTTTATGGTTGTCGACTCCTGTAAACGGTACAAATACGAGCTTGTATCTGCATGGTTTATGTTGTAAAGTAATAAGTGCACACGCGTATAATCATAATAACAGCTTTGCAGACAGAAATACGTAAAACAGTTACAAAATTGATGATTCCTACCACAGTTAGCAATTGTTTTTTGGAACCATGGTAGTACTGCCATGCACACAGGGATTCATACGAGTGCACACTGCACCCTTTACCCAGTTTAACATTTAATTCCAAGCACCCATACGGTTAGTGGTATCAAAAGTAGCTCATGCTTATTACCCATGCATACTGTATGTAGCCGACTATCATGCTCTAGTCCAGTGGATATTCATTATAATTGTAAGTCAGTCGCGTGCAATTCAGGTGTATAGATCCCCATGCACACTTACATGCATAGCCGTGCACTCAACATATTTGGCTCCATAACCACAGGTTCGGCCACTCCCACCCCCATTGTTAAAGAAAAATAAATGACATGATCATACAGTTTTAAATGGGCATGTACACAAACAGTTTTTATTAAATTAAATTATTTTAATTGTTGGGATGTGTACCTGTTTGTGCTGTAAGTTGCGTCGAATGACATCACATCGCCAAAACATGCATAATTCTTCCGGGATATCGTGTCTGCCCAAAAAAGCTTGCATAGCTCCATGTCTTCGTTGAGATCAAAATCAAAGTAGAAGTCTGGTTCCATCTCTTTATTTTTGTATATGTCTTCTACTACCATCTGTGCATCTGCTCCAGCAATATATGCCAACAAGTCCCTTCTAAAATTGCAGAAATCGGTGGATGTTGCTCCTATATCTGAAAAACTTCCAACCATTTCCTTGTATAGCCTCCATGATTTTGTGGAACCAATGTTTGCCCTTGCACAGTTTGCTACGAATATTTTGTGTCCAATATCTAGCTTCCTATTTATTTTAAGAAATGGCCTCCCAATGTCAGAGCATAGGTAGTGTGTGTGCCATAGCTCAAGTGCATGGATTGTGTAGCTACCGCTTTTGTGCCTTGTGAACCCGATTCGGGCATTACAACCAACACGAGTTGATAGCCGGCGCCTTTTCTTCGGTGAGGTGGTGGTTCCTTTGTTGCTACTACTCATCTTTTTGGGCTTGTATCCTTCCCGTGAGCATAAAATATATTTTATATGGACTGCCCCTGCCCTGTTCCATCGCTTCGTCCCGTGTCGGATATCGTATCTGGCGATGGCTGCGTATGCCCCATAGAAGTCTACTCCGTTTTCTAGTGATGCAAATTCTTGCCCAATGTATGGGGTGTTTTCGCTTTTGCAGTTCGGTAACCATTGCTTCGTTCCATCGGGTAATACTACCATGTTGCACTCCGTTGCTTCGTCTCTATTGTGTTGTGATCCTATAAGTCAGAGAAGGGATTTTTGGTCAAATAATAGAACACTTGTATGCCGATGTCAGCACTGTTAACGCTATGTACAGTATAAGAAAAAAATAAGTGTAAGCACGTGTGACCAAACTATGGCGTCCTGTGTGCATTAAAACCTAGTTCTGTGTGCATCGTGTAGCCCAGATACGGCCGTGCAGACCTCACCACATCATGCTGCCCCGTATTGTTTTTCCCCAAAATTTAGTTCACAAAATGATATGCCTACCATAGGATTGCGTGATCATGTGGATTATCATTTATTATAACACCCATTAATTAGCACTCCATTCAACAGAGTTCGCTCAAAAAATTGAATCTTGAGCATGGCCCTATTCAAACGATATACGGTGTACGTACCTGGGTTCAGAGCCTCCATGGATTCCGGTATGGCGTCGAATTGAATGGGTTCTATTCTGTCGTCCACGGTCGGTTGCAATTTTGACTGTTCGTAATTGATTTTAGTTTCGTCCGGTATGGCGTCGTAATTTTGTCCGTTCGTACACAAGTTTTCGGTGGCAGTGATGGGATGTCTTCAAATCCTACGCACTTTGAACTTCCTTGTTCGTAGCATAGCATACCAGTGCATTCTATTCCTTTTATGATTAATATGCTTTCGTTTAAGAGGTTGGTGCATTCCCTATATTAACCTTATCTTCAGTAATTGTTAATCCGTGTGGTAGTAATCAGCCTTCATCTAGTCCATTGATCTAATCACATCTTGTGGCTAGAGTATGTCCGCACGTTTGTATTTTAAGGGGGTTTGTATTGGAATGCAACCCTATATATATATATATATATATATATATATATATATATATATATTAAGACTTAAGTTTTTATTTTCTAAAAATAAAAGTTACACTAAATTTAGATTTTGACTAAGAGTTGATCCCCCGTCCCCGACAAATTCTCCGTGGGAACGAGGATGAGGACTATTTTTAATTTCCCACTGGAGATGGGGACGGGGCGGGGACGGGGTCAGGGTTTCGGGGACGAGGACGGGGTCAGGGTTTCGAGGACGGGGACGGGGAGCCGTCCCGCCCCGCTCCGTTGTCATCCCTACCGGCCATCTAAGCGTTCGCCTAGCGCCTAACTCGGCTTACTTGGCCGCCTAGCGTCTAACTTAGTCAAGTTAACTCGTCCATTTCGGTTGAGTTAACCCAATCAGCTCGGCCTTGCTAATTTTTTTTCATTATATATGTGTGTGTAGAGGCAAAAGGTTGAATCATCAAATCGAGTAGAAAATCATCCAACTCTTCATAATAATGATAACGAACAACAGATGTGTCGTCGTTCAAAGTCATTAAATATCCTTTGTTTTGAAAATATGTTTAGTTGAAAATAAATTTATAGTAGAAAATAAGTATACAAAATAGTTTTTCAATTAAATTTTTACGGGGTTTCGCACTACGGTCGAACCCTAAGCCGGATGTGGCTCAAGCCGATCGGGTTTAATAATTCATACCACCCGCATTAATTAAATCCATCATTGGTTCTTTCATTGAGAGCTCGACATACAAGTTCGAACGTGCTATTCCCTAATTATGGCAAGGTCGAGATCCAACTCACGTAATTCAAACGATTCTCACAACACTCGTGTCACCCTGAGCGAAAACGGCCTCAACGAGACCGCTAATAGACAACAAGCCGTTTCCGTGAGGTTGAGCGGGAACCTAAGCGATCGTTGTAAGACTTTCCCGTATAATATATATTATATATTATGGGTCTTACTTATGTGGTGAAAGTGGACTAGGCCCATTAAGTAATTGGTTGGACTGGACATTTAGGTTTAAGTCTTATTCCACGAATGTGCCTATATAAAGCTTGTATTGATGAGATACAAGATACATGATTCATTATATGGTACTCATACTGCTCAGAAAATACCAATATACCATCTAGGGTTCTTAGTCAAGTATGAGACAAAACGGCTAACCCTATTCTGCAGATCTACTGTTCAAGAGGCAATACAAACAGGATATCAACCATGGCTGGAGATCTACAGTGCTTCCGCTTCCGATACTACGAGTTAAGTTTCTCGTAGATTATTCTCTATATAGTTAGATCATGTTTAGATCTCACATTTGGTATCAAGAGCCTCTATCAATCTCTACCTGGTTGATTGTCTTGCCTAAAAACAATATTTATTTTTCATATACATTAAGATTTTGTATATGATTTTTGGATTGCTAAAATATTATTATTATTTTGGCATTAAGAAATTTAATTTCTTATTTTTCTAATTTCGAATTTTTTTTGGTTTTTCTGCCGGCAAACGAGAGATACGTGGCCTCCTTTTTTTTCCGGTGGCTTTCCCCTCCGGTCGCTGTCGAGGATGCGATTTGGAGTCGCGGACGGTGGACAACGGCGGTGGATGGCGTTACAGCGAGGAGCTTGGCGCTGCAATGAGAGGGCGACGGCGGCAAAGCTAGCGTTGCACCGGAGGAACGACGGCGATTTGGTTTCCAGCGGTGAAGCGACGCCTGGCTTCCTCTCCTCCTTCAGGCGTAGCTTACTCCGCGACTGGTTCATGGGCGTTGCGGCTTGGTGCTGCGGTGAGGCGAGACGAAGGATGCGGGCTGGGTTTCGGCGAAGGTGCTCCACCACTGTGCAGCTTCAGACTCCAGCGGCGTCTCCTCCACCTCCATTCGCAGCAGCAGTACCGTGAGAGACCCTGTGGAATGGCAACCGGATCTAGAAAGCTGCGCACCGGCTTTCTTTTGGTTGGCGATGGTCAGGCACGGAAGCACGATGCTGTTAGCCGGCTTCCATGGTTGCATCCCGGTCCAGTTGTCGCTGCTTCTTCCCTGCTCCTCGCCGGTGATGGCGCAAGTTTCCCGATGATGTGTTGGAAGAGACGGACAACTGGATGGTAAGCCGTAAACTAATAAGGCTAATTTCCTTATTAAAAATGCAATTTACTTATATTATTTTTACCATATATTTTATTTGCCATCATTTAGTAATTACATATTAATTTTGGTAAGTGGTAATTATTAAGTTTATTATTTCCATATTAATATTACCTAATTAATATTGTATATTATTTTGGCAAATGGTAAATATAAAGTAATTGCATAATTTTTTAAAAAAATTAATGCCCTTTAGTTGCTCTTAATTTTGGCATTAATCTATAATTAAATTATTATTCAATTTTTGAGCAAATATTAAGTATTGAATTGCTATGTGAATTTTAATTTAATATTGAAGTTATATTAAATTGCCTTGAAGTATTGCAATTTGTTTAGGATATTTATGAGTTAATATTATATTAATATGCAAAATCCAAGCATGCTTTGTATATTCATAAATTATTCTATTATAATTGTACATTTAGAAAAGCATATATTAAGGTTGGATATAGCATATTATTAATTTATAGTCTCTATATTAATATTATTCAATTTTGGATCCTTAGGCTAATTTTGGATATTATAGCCTATTAAGATAGCTTGTTTTGGTTACCCATTTAATTTTGGGCATATTTTAATCCTATATTTCACTTGGGACTTTAAAACCAATATCTATTTTGAACAAGCTATTTGTGACCTATATTGGGTCATTAAAGTTTGGATCCCACCATTATTGAGTGATATTTAATGTTAATTATAGCCATTTTAGTTTGACTTATAACATGTTTATTATGGTAATAATATTAATTATTATGCATAACATGTTCACTAAGTCCTAATTATTACGGACTACCATATTTTGTTAATGGTATTTATTGTTGGTAATAATATTAAGTTTGGATATATTTCAGTACTAGACCATTTTATATCCATGTCATAACTCACTTGGACCATTGAGTTTATGGGTCTAATTTGAGTAATTAAGTGCTATAATTATTATTTTGGATCTGTTTATGAGCCATTAAGAATTTAAGGATTATAATTGTTATTTTGGCCATTAAGAATTACAATTATTGTTAAAGTTATTATATATATATTTTTAATCTATCAATAGTTTTCAAGGCCTTAACAATAATATTAATTCCTTTAAATAATATAGTAAGCAATATAGTTGGTATATTGCCGGTAATTTGATTATTACCATAACTTCAGTCTCCCTAAAAGACATTATAGTCTTGATTAATTATTATGTGGGAATATGAGATCAGCATTCGTTATTCCCTTAGTTACAGTTTTGCCTTTTATTATAGTTAATAATTGGCATTATTAATAACTGTTATTAAGTTGAGGGGGTAATCTCGTTTATTACCTTTCATAATAATTATTATTGCTTGGTAATCTATTATGTTTGGAAAGATTACCTATTTGGTGGTTATTGTTACGTACAATTGGACGTTGCATTGAGGTTACTGACGGTGAAGATGGGAGAATTTTAGCACTATGGGCGATGCGGTTTGCATCATTAAGGTTAGTCATTAAGTTTTTATCATTATTTATTGGTAATTAGTGCTATAGTTATAGTTTGATTGCTATAATTTTGAAATTGCCACATTTTATTTCCTTAAGGAAAATGGAAATATTAAAGAAGGTATATTACCATACTATGATTGTTATTACCAAATATTAATGGTGATTATAAGGTTATTTATTACCATTAATATTTTAATGATAACATTATTATTATGGTTTATTTAGGAATCCTGAATTTGTTTTCAATTATGTTTATGTGGCAATGCTTCAGATAAGAAATTTTTTTTAGGCAACTGACTATTGCCATTACTGTACATTTATTCCATAATTCATTCAGTCTTTGAATTATGATTAATGCTTTTTTGCCCATATTTGATTAAGTATGAATAAATTAATATTTGGTGTGATTTCATACTATTTAGATTGTTTTATGCATTTGATCACATTAAGTGCATAATATTGAGTTTAATTATGCAATTGTTTTGTGAGATTTTGATTTACAAATGACAACATATCCTTTTTTGTTTGATATTGTTATAATTTGTGAATTCAG